GAAATCATCCCGCTTCCGTTCAATCATCCGTCCGCAAACACTCAGCTGATATAGAAGCGCCATTCAAGAATAGCCCACTCACACATACACACACAGGGCGATATTTTCTGTCAGGTGCGCATGCAATATCGCCACAAATTGAGCAAATAAATATATGAATTTACTCTTTAGTAGCAAGTCACTGACTGAAAAACAACTAACCGCCTGAGGTATATAAAAGTGGCATGTGGACTTGCTCGCGTAGTCTCATGGATTCCATTTCATGACGATGTACTGAACTGTTCATTCTTATGTTTTGTTGCATTTAAGCCCTTTTTGTTCACTAACTTGCAAAATATTGGTCAGTGTAGATTGTCCACGAATCGCAGTGCACCCGAAAATCAAAAGCCCTGATCTTACATCTTTTACTCTATGTCGGTTGGATTTTGTACCGAGTCCTGTGAATTCTATAGTTCTTTTCCCTGAATGTGCACCGTCCGTTGTGGCAATTTAACAGCGACCTTGAAATCGAAGCCAATTAGGCGTGACGCTGCACCTTTTAAATTGATTTTGGAATATATATGTACGCCTCCGGCCAAATGTCCCATGACATACATTTTAGTTACTATATTCTGTGATTGCGAACACCTGTTGCAAAGGCACATGATTAAGAAAAACCATAAATACGTATATAACAAGTGTATTTACGTCCCCTATCGTATTGGAGCTAGTGCACTTATCTCAAAGATGAGAAGCTATTGGACAGTCGCTCTAATGTTTACGCAAAGCATGATTTCGGTGCGCGTTTTTATTACGAATCAATTGCACGTACAACAGTCAATTTAATGAGGCCATTAAAGACAAAGTAACCACTCCTTGCTATAAAATATCTTTATTTGTAGCATATCTATGTACATCGCAAGTTCACATAAATCCGTAGAAAAGAATATTATATTGTACCTAAATCAAATAGTGATCATGATCTATCTGTTTAGATCCACTTTGTCTATACCTTTTGCAATTCAAGTTATCCCAATATCATATCAAGATGTCCGAGTTTCATTTCAGTTTGTCCGACCATTATTTTAAGATGTCCCAGTATCATTTCAAGATGTTTTCATATCATTTCAAGTTGTCACATTGACCTCATCGGTGCTGACAAGCCTCCCAGCGATGTCTGGATGACCACCATGCAGCACCGATTTCTCTACCTCACGTTGAAGTGCGGGGGACAATTATAAAACGGGCTCGGTCACACACTCTTCAATTCCCATGACATACATATCGATTGCTTATCTCACTAGTGCGCGTATGCCTCTGCGTGTGTGTTTTTTCCCCTCCATTGATACCACTGAGTCAAAGCTTGAGTGATAGCTCACCTCCATCTCATGATGCAGCAATGGAATTCATAAGCTTCACCTCAAGCGACTGCACTGGAACACCAATAGATCATACGCGATCGATATACACAGAAGCACCTTCAAGCACTGAACAATCAAAGTAACCATTTTGGCCATATTTTCGGAACGGAATGAGGTATCTCTATCAAATCAACCGCGATAGAAATAACGTAACGAGGGCTGTCGAAAGACACAATAATTTCCATAAAAGTTACGAAATTTTATAAGACGATACAATTTTAAAACTTGGAATGTTTCCAAAATGCACTTTTCTGAGTACGGGCCCTGAATTCGATAATCTTTATCGCTGAAATCATATAGTCTTACTTCAACACTTCCAACACACAAAATAAACCGGGTGAATTAATGTTAGTGTACGTGCAAACTGCCTTCGAATAATCTTATTGCCATTGTCGCATTTATCGATTCAGATTCACTATGCGAACACCACCGTGGTCGTTCTTAGAATAGTAATTACCGATAAGTTACTAACTTTTAGGAAATCAGAACACCGTTCCGTTATCATAGCTGAACCACACCGCAGTATTTTGGAGTTCTTGCAGTTAACCCAGGGGAAACGATGGAGGCACAGTATCAGTTGATGAATATCACACATTGTTACACAAAGGATGAAATAATCTAGGCCCCTGAAGGTTTCTTACCTAGACTCGCAAATCTGAAAAAGAGGGGAAGACATTTTCAGTCATGAGTACGGGTGGTTTCCATGGCTTTGCTCACCGTTCACCTAGCAGAATAACCGCATATAAAATAACATAAATTCAGTAATAGAATATTTTTTATTTTGATAAACTAATTGACTGTTAAACGAACGAACCGGTCCTAATGTCTCAATTTTTTATTTCACAACATTCAATACCACTAATCTCTCACTTACACATATTCGTTGGTGACTTTAACCGTACTAATACTAATCCTCCTCTATCATTACAGATGTTTTTCGCTCTACTACCGGAGGTGACTCCATACTGAACAGAGTAATCACCAACCGCGCATCCGTTTTTATTTAGTACTGAAGGAAACAATTTTCACTAGAATTCAATGTTTACTCTTAGTTCGACCTAAAGTTTACTCACACTGTACTGATCACATCAGAATTCGTTGTTACAGCGTCTCATGCATGAGTGTTGCCCTTCGCCATGAATCTCTCAAAGAGGCTTTTGCAAGACGTTCATCACCTCCTTCGTTTTCATTCACCCAGACAATTATTGCCAGGTTAACGTCTCCACCCCTAAAATGGCTGTGAAAACAACGGGTGTAAGAATCCTATAATAAATTAACTGTCACGCACTTAGCCAGACTTAGCGAACGTCAAGTCAAAAAAATTTAACGCATTATTCTCCGATCGCATTCTGAGGACTGGAAGAAGCAAACACTTAACTCAAAGTATCAAACTTCAGTGTGGGAGTAGGAAATTACTGCCGAAGCTGGTGAACGTTGATACTGATGATCTCAATGCTACGTTTCTGTGACCGTCGTCGGACATTCTTCCTACCCACTCGGCACTCAATATTTGTGATGTGAACTTATTCTTAATTTCAATGTGTTAAACCTCGACCTCTGATGTAGACTCGGATGGCTTACCTTCAGATATGGCATCAATTCTCTAGCTGGGACGACCATCTTCATTGTGAATAAACCTATTAACAATTCCACTATTTATACTATTTTAGGCCGGTCACAATCATATCAATTCGACAAAACATCAAAATCTTTTATCCTTTCCAAACGTCTCATAGCGTTCACATCTTCAGCTCTCAAGTTGATTGAAAAAATTATCTTCAGACGCCGGCTACTGTTGTGAAATTTGCCCCTTCGTATGCAGATGTCATTTCCATTCCAATTTGAAAAGCAGCTTCTGAAACTGTACCGCAGCAGAAGCACCGGAAAAAAGGCAGGGATACCGTCTGCTGCATCGCCCTCATGGACAGACTCGACTCCCTCGTCCACGACATCCAGGCACGGTGTGTATAACACGTCACGGATAGCTGAGAGGTTCCTCCGCGATTCGCAGGAACTATGCAGCAGAAGAAGCTCCCTCCGAGATCTCAGTGCCTTATTGTTATCGATCTTCCAGAGGCCGAGGCCACCACTGTCCAGGCTCGCCTGCACCACGAACTGCAGCTGCGGAGGTCTCACACGGTTACCTTTTTTGATGGCGACGAGGTGGAACCAGCGGCATCGATCACAGTAAAAGAGGCATTCAGGCATGGAAAGGCCTGCCAGGATAATTCTCCACGACCACTGAAAGTGGTTCTTCGAGTGGAAAGCGAAGCCAAAGCGATACTCCAGCGGACCCACAAGCTGAGGGGAACTCCGGTGCGATTCCTCAAGGATCATGATCCCAACCAGCGCAGTAAATTGAAAATGCATTCGAGGAACTTAGCGAGCGCCGTGCAAAAGGGGAAACTGATCTGTGTATACGGCAGTTTCGGGTGCATCGTAAGCGCCCTCAGTTGCGTTGGCTATCCTTGGTCGGGGAGAGGACCCAGGAGACTGTTTAACCCCGAACAGGGGATTAGCTTGAGACATAAATAGCGAGGTAATCACGCCGTGCTAGTCTCAACTAATACCCCAAGGATGCTAGGTAAAAGGGATGAGCTGGAGGACTGAGTTGTATCCCACAATCCCGATCTTTTTGCAATCGCTGAGATCTGGCTGACACCGGATGTCCGGGACTCCGAAATATCACTCCACTCGAACGGACCGATCATCGTCACGTCGCGGTAGTGGAATTGTTCTTTCTGTCCGCTTGGGTCTCCCTGTTCGAGTGCTGGAAAATTACGCCCATCCGGAAGGAATTGAAGAAGCCCTACGGTGCAGATTCAAGCTTTGTGCCGGAGGGTATACCACAGTTACAGTGATTTATCGCACCCCAGCTGTGTACGTCCCAGCGATGCTGGCCAGCATACAGAGGTACGCATACGATGGACATTGTCTTGTCTTGGGTGATTTCAACGCGCCCCATGTTGATTTGGAAACTAACATCTGCACTCAGCATGCAGATTTGTTCTCCAGGGAACTTCTTTTCGCTGTCCGGGCCCTGTCGCTTGTTGAGCATGTTCATGTGCCCATGCGGATA